TATTTTCTGGATCATTTACTTTTTATAAAACCAGAAGTACTAAAAGAAAATTTTGATTTACAAAGTTAAAATACACGGTTTGATCTGCTCTCCCTGACAACTTGCTTCCTGTTGTATTCTTTGCAAAATTGTAATGTTGCCCTTTGCTCATCAATTCCAGAAAAAAGCATATAAAGTCATTTAGAAGTGGGGTGTACCCCTGTGCCCAAAGGACAAGTCAGGCTGTCAAGTAGGTACTAACATGAGTACAACCATCACAGCTCAAGTCCTGGCTTGTCAGCAAAACCACAGCGATTATGTGGCACAATAATCTTTGCTTGAATAATACCTATTTGTCAAAAAACAAAAGCAGAGAAACATTTCTTATTTGCTGAAGTGTCTCAGATTTAAAGGAATTGAAACCTCCTTTTTTTAAAAATTATTTGGTCTAAATAAATACACAACATTCTACATAATCAAAATTATTTCTTTTCCACAGTCACTCTTTTCCCCTACTACCCATCTGACAATATTATTTCTTTGTTTTAACATTTTAGATTGCTCTAGATAACATATTACTTTAGATTTTTTAATTTTTTTAGGCTCCCTTTTCCTCCTTAATTAGAATATTAAAATCACAAAAACTTTCACATGTTAGAGAAACTATACAATTAGCCATCAGAATCACTGGAATGTAGCTTGAGGAATCAGAAAGGAATACTCCTGCTGACAGTCTGTTTTCTGGCAGTCATCTGTGAAACTTTCATTAATGATGTTCATTGTTCTGTCTACATTACATCTGTGTCATGAAAGTACCTTTAATGTTTTAAAGATACTGGGAAAATTCCACTACATGCAATATCCACTGACATGGAGCACACCAATTCAGTGTGATATATGATTAGAAAAGATAAGTACCAGTCTGTTCAGCTGATATTCAGATGTGAAATGAAGTCATGTAATTGTAAAACAGGGTCAAATTAATTCACAGTCATAGTGAGCAATTGTTCACTCTCATATGCATGATGTTTTTTATTATTTCCTCCTTTAGGCATCTTATAAGTGAAGGACTGAAATTTCAACTCTATTGCTTTCAGAAGACTAAAGTTATTATTTTGTTTTCTGTGTTTATTTATTGTATGACATTTCTTTTGGCTTTTTGGTTTTGGGGGTTTTTTAAATTTATATTACTGAAATTGCTAAACTGCACTGGTATGCTAAAAATATAAAAATTGTGGGTAATACAGTGAAAAGTCTAAATGGAATGTGACTGAACAGAACGTGTTTAAGAACTAAACCAACCTCATAATCAGTTTGGAGGTACTTCAGCAAAGATGCCAAACTTCTCAGAGAAAAAAACATTCAGTGGATGTGTGCAGTTGGCAGAAGTTACAAGTTAAGAAAAAAAAATACAATCTACTCTGTAGCTCTCAAAGGTTTTGTGCAGCACAAGGAAATGGGCAGACAGAAATCTTAGTACTTAGTACAGAAATACTTAGTACAGTGACTGTTCCCTCCTGTGAGCAAACAGCCAGGCTCACTATTAAAAGATTTGGTTTTAGTTATGTCAGCAAGAAATTATTTTAGCAAGAACTTTGAATTTAAAAACACAATACTCATAGCTAAGACAGATTTTTTTTTTAAAACAGCTAAAGCTCAAGGAAAAAATATGTTGTGGGGTTTTGTTTTGTTTGTTTTTTTCCCATACGGAATCTTTGGGAAGCTGTTATACTTGGCCAAATATATGCATGCATATGTATGCATATATATATAAATACATGCATTTCATACACATATATTTCTCTTTTTGCCAGCAATAAAATGTATCTTGAAGAAAAGAGGTTATGGACATACCCATCTACTGCAGCCAAGGGATCCACAAGGGTGCCTGGGATCCACAACACAAGTACGTGTGCACAGTGACTATTATCAAAGGTTTCTAAAATCCAGTAATTTCTATTGACAGCATTCTTGCTGACTTTCCAAATTTGCTTTCTCCTGTCCTCTCTCCCCTAAGCTCTGCAGGCAGGAACCCCCTCCCTTCCCTCCCTCCTTCCTCTCTCTTCCCATTAGAAATGTCACTACCCCATCTGCTGCCCCTGAGCTCACTCGGGCTGGCAGGCACTCACAGGCAGAACGAAGGAGCTGGAGTCATTCAGCATAATGTGCTACACACACCCTTCCAAGGCAACTGCTAGCACTTTCCACCAAGAAAAAAATGTTGTGCAGAAGGGATTTATGCTGCTACGGTTCTCCTTTGATGCCTGTGAGACACATCAGGACACGTCTCCTCCATCATTAAATCTAACTCCTTCTTGCTGCAGAGACCATGTAGTTTATTTGTTCCATCTCAGTGTCTGTGCTTTGCGACATCCAAGCTAAGTGGTGACCAAGGGAATTGCTTCCCTGGACACAAGAGATGCTGCTGTAATACCTGAATTACATGGAATTATCTTTTTGCATCTATCTCAAATGATGTTACAATTTCAGCCAACAAATATACATGTTATTGTGGTCAGCAGGCTTTCACTCACTTGAAATGAAGAATACTTTATGGTTTTCATCAAATAAAACTGTAATAACACAGCTCAAAGTGTGCAGTCTTATTGGAAACCACATTGCACAGGAACTGCTTCTTCTCATAATTACATATTTGGCAACAGAGGGTGAGGGGGTGAAGAAAAGCTCTTTTCCCATCTGCAGAAAATCCTGACAGCCTCTTAAAAACAACATTAATGAGGGAGAGAAAAAGAGGTATTTGTGAAGGCTTTAGATATTAGTTTCATATAAATATGCCAAACACAAAACCTTCCTTGATTTACTTTTGTTTGCATGGGAGGAGGCTTTGCACATTTCACTGGAACTCCTGGCAAAATACAAGGATCTCAGGGCATGTAGCTCTCACAGAATGTTTTAAGAAAGAAATTATTTGGTTTATTTCACAGTGTTCACACCATTCCAACTCTAGACAGAGACAGAAAATGAAGAAGCAAAAAATGGATCGAAGTTTACTGGACCAATAAAGTGAAGAAAAGGGAAACATTCAGATCAGTCTTCACAGAGCCCAAGTAGCTCACTTCATCCTAGGGAAACTCCTCTTTGCTGTGGAGCCCTGAATATGGGCTCAGGGAAGTTTGGAAAGAAAATAGGTGATAACTGTTGTCAGCTCTGGACAGCAGCAGAAAGAAGGAAGTAAAACTTTTTAAAAACTCTGTCCCAGGAACCAGACATGAAGAGCAAAGCTTTGCCTTCAGCTCAGCCCTTCACCCTACAGTATCACAGCAACTTCAGGGTAAGCTGCTTCTATGATCTAACATTTTACAAAATCTGTATCTTCTTGTCCAGGGGAGAATGTGTTGTGGCAGTCACCAGCACTGGAATAAGAAAATTTCCAGTCATAAAAGTAGAAAACTTGAGGCCTTTGAAAAGTCTTTGCTTTATAAACTGTGGCTCCTGTGCTCTGCCTTGCTGTCCTATGCTGGCATGTACAATTATAACCCTTCAGCTGGAGATCTATATTAAAAAAGTCTGCAAGGCAAGATACTGAGTGCATATGTTTATCTGAAAATGTCTCTGTTCAGAGACAGAAATTCTATTTGTACCTTTACATGTACTGTAAATTTTCTGTAACATCCATAAAGCATTAGAACATGATTATGTAAAAGAGCACATGAATGTCTTTGATCTCCAGAAGTGTTAATCTCTCTTACTTGTTTTACTTGCTGCTTAATAAACAAAATATTTCTCCTAACACCCCAAATAATTCGGGCCAAAAAACACCTCAGGACACCTTGTCACTGAAGATGATTTTGAGACTTATGGTTGCTGAATGCCATGAAATGAATACATAGGGACACAATAAGGTAAGACTGTTCCTTAGGTCAATAATTTGAAACAGACACTATTTGAAATAAGCAAAACAGAAGAAGAAATGTAAGTATTGCTTGTCATGCTCTCAGGCTACTTCTTGATTGGTATGTCAGGTTAGGAATAAATTGATCACAACTGTAGTAAACCAGCTCAAACATAAGCAGAACATGCTGCGATACTCCATCTTGGACTAATCCTGGAATGGTCTGTGGACTGAGTGAAAGCACAGATGCTTTGCCACCATCACTTACATGTAATCATGGCTTCTAATCTTCAGCCATGCAGTTCTACTTCTGTTTTTACTGACTCTTAATCATTTTGCTTTATTTAGCAAAACTACTTATGATTAAAACCAAGTTTTAAATGGAATATCTACAAACGTGGGTGTGGAGTTTTTTCTTGAGTTTTCTGATACCAACTTTGAAAATCATCTTTCTTTATGTATAGAATGAGACTAAAAGCTTCACTTATTCTAATTTGCATGCTTGGTATTTAGCAGTCTGAAAGAGGTTGATTTGTTCTGGCTTTTAATTTTTCCCAGGCATTTGGAAGCAATCTGCTAGACAGCATGAACTAGTAGCCAGCACAACATGCAGCTTCAGCAGTGTCCTGTTAGTTGGGGAAAAGTCTCTGAACTCACTAAGTTCACCAGCCCTGCTGTCTGGGGACTGAGCATGAAAACAGGACAGCACTTTTCCTAAGGAGAAAACCTCATACTCCACCAAAGTCTGACTGAAGGTTTTGGGTGCAGAGGAGCATTAGAAAGGGCAGGTGGAAACTCAGTGTTGGCTGCCCAAGGGGCAGAAGCTACAGGAATACTTTAGAATTTCCTTAGAGGAATAACTGAGGAAAAGATCAACCTGTTGTGTGACACCACCCTCCCGCTTCTGGAGGACACAGTTTGTGTAGCCTCTGCCCCTCGGATGCTGAGCAAGAGCTAAAAACATTCTAAGGGATTGCAGTTGCAGCTCTGGGTGGCTAAATTCAGCTGCATTGTATCAGTGTAACTGGAAAAAAAAAGTGTTCCACTTTGGATGTTATCCACATCAGCTACTACCACATAACAAATTATTACTCCTCTGTTTCAGTTTGGTGTAAACAGAGCAGAACAATATGAAACATCTGAAGGAATATCAGAAAATATGGAATAATTAAGGTGAAATTAACTGATTACTTTGGTCTTTTCTTTTATAAAATAAGGGAAGAATGGTAGAGTAATAATAACCTTAGAACATCTAGCATTTCAGAGGTGCTACCATTTTATTGTCATCAATTCTATTATAAGAAAGTTTTCTGACATTTCCTCTTCTGTTTTCTACAGTTTGGGTGAACATCTCTCTTCAGAAAAAAAAATATATACCTGTAAATATGTGATTTTACTATTATACAAAATGTTGAAAAGTACCTTTGGAAATGCTGTTCTTGAGCCTTTAATGTCAAATGCTGATGCAAGTGTTTCTGAAAAACAGAGATAATTATAATATAAAGAGTTACTTAACCATAAAGCCATCAATCAGACTGCCTAAATAACTTCAAAGCAATGTGGCATATCTCTCAGCAGCAGTTGCCAATGTCATTTACTCTTTCACTGATAAAGCCCTCATCTGGTTCTTCTCTCAGAGTTCTGACTTTTTGTTGAAACCACATTAGAAAATAGAAATTAACCACAGTGCTCCTGCAACATCTCCTCCAGACAAATCCTACTGTGATAACTCCAGTAATTTAACTTGTAATAGTAGTTCACTTGAATGGTAACTGAAAAGAGCTGATACTGATTTTTAAAGAAAGGAAAACATACTGTATTTTACCCTCCTTACAGGTCTTTTTGGCCTTTAGTCTGACATCCTACCTGAATTCTCTGAACCTGAACCTGTATTGTGTTAATACTTGTTAGCCCCTACCAAAGGATTAACTCTTCTCTACTGGCAAAAAAAAGAAAAAAAACCAACATCATATGTAGGTGTATAAAATCTCTTAAAAAACCCATCCAGACACATATCTAATAAACTTTGTTCTGGATATTAGTAGAGCCCACAGTGCCTCTCAAGTTTCCTGTTCAGTCCAGTCAAATGCAATCTTTCCGTGTCATTTTAGAGATGTTCACAACAAATGTCATCATCGGAAGAAGGATATTAGTAATCCTCATTTACAGAGACAGAAACTGCAGTCCAAGGATGTTGAAATAAAGAATTTGAATATTTTCTACTTCAGCAGGGTTCTGGCACTGGAGAATTGCCTGCTCTGAGGTCTGCTGCCTGCCAAGCAAAGTCTAGATTGTGGAGATAAAAATCTGTTTGCATGGGCTGATTGCACCATGTATTTTCACACCAACCTCCTTTCAGCGTTCCGCACACTGAGTATTCATCGTCAGCTCCGCTGCAGAGGAGTTCTTTCCAGAGGAGTGCTTTGGCACCATCATACCAGACATTGAAGACAATCTTCAAAAAGTGGATGTCACTTCCTAATTAAAACATTGCAACTAAGAGAATGGTAACTGATGGGGAGGAAAAGCATATACGGAGACATGATGTTTAGATAAAAACTAGATTTCGCCAAAATACTGTATTTTTGTAAGACTCCCCCAAAATTAAAAAGGTATATATCTTGAAAACTGCTACTTCCAGAAGAAAAGAAAAGCTATTGGTGTTTTTAACAACAAAAAATTAGTCTTAAAAATATTTGGGAGAAAAATTTCAAAGTCTGTTTTAATTTCTTTAGTAAAGGAAACAGAGTTCATTCAGCTCCACAGCTAACCTAAACAAGTGCTCAAATGAAGACCTTAGTTTTAAGCAGATGTTGCAATGAAACTATCATGAATGCATCATAAAGATGTCCTTCTAGGGAAGCAAACCTAGTGTAGAAGGGGAAGTTTATGATACAGCCAGGTCCTAAACATTTCATTAGCTGAGGTTGCTGGCTTAAAGATCACAGTTAGGCAGTTAGGTTTGCACACAAAATCCAGTACCATCTCCAGCTTCTGGAACATGCATATTCTTCACAGAAGTCCTGCCATAGTTGGATGGCCTGATGATACTCTCTCTCTCTCCTTTAAAAGTCTTGGATCTTGTCCAGGCCAGAAAACCAAAACACACATACACCTAAACTGTCACAGATTGGCATTTACAGTGACAGTCTGCATGCAGAGCTCTGGTAACTGCTCCAAGTAAAACTCAAACATATTTTCACAAATCATCATTTCTCTCCATAGCTATAGTTTAACCATTCCATTTTTAACCCCAGAAACCAATTTCCTAAATAACACAGCATTTAGGATGAAGCATCAGTTTTTCACTTGTATTTAATTTCCAGCATTTCCAAAATATAATTGTCTAGTTAAGAGAGACTCACTCGGAATCCAGGTAAGAGCAGCCTTCCAGGCAGATTTGTTCATAGTGCTGCAAGGTGTCAGATTAAACATGAAAGCATGAGCTGTAGAATCTACAGAAAAAAATCATTTCACATTGATAGTGTGAATAGGCTTCACCATAAAAATAATAAGAATATACAGTTATACATACAAAAATGCAAATTTTAAATGCATTTAATACATATTTTGTATCATTGTACATTTATTATGTATCAAATACATATTTTAAATGTATTTAAGATATATTCTATAAAATTGCTCAATATAATATATGTGGTAAATATTAAATATGTTTTTAATTATATTATTAATTATTTTTATATTTAGAAGGCAAAACCAGTATCATATTTCTTTAAGCAAAGAGAAGTAAATTTTTAGTTGATGATATTTTGCATACAACTAACAGAGATAAAAGTACCTTTATTTCTCTCTTGAAGATAATACAAACTTTTTATTAGCACTAAACCAGCATGGTCTTCTACTGAAAATATCCCTACTTATGCTAATCATGCTGACAAGAACTAAAAATATTTTTAATGCACCAGCATATTTTTCAGGTAATTTAAATGAACCTTTGAGTAGATTTGCTCTGTGACTGACCCACCTTGCATTTTTAAAATACACAAAATATCAGCCCATGACACAGACAGGCCAAGAGGGGACACACCATCCTGTCTCAGAACCTGATTGGTACCACAGCCTGACAGAATATGACATTCCGCCTTTTTTTTCCACATACTTCAAGCTTTTGATTGTAACATACTGGTTAACTCAATAGGTATAATTTATACAACAGAGTACTTGCAAAACTAGTTTAAACCCATTATCTTCTTACATTTCCTGAACAAAAACATGCCTATTTTACTTGAGAATAAAATTCTCTTTCTCCTAGCTGCTGGAACCAGCATTGTGGTAGGATTTATGCCTATGAAGTAAAATTCTTATACCAGGGTGATTAATAACAGAAATATACTTCTTTATCTTTTTCTGTATTCCTCAAAGAAACAAATTTGAAAGAAAATTCACAATCCCTCAGACTACAGTAATTATCCTGCAAATTTAACAAAAGGATTACCTATTTTTTTACTTACCACAAAAAGTATATGACATTTCAAGATCTGATGATGTACAAATGAATTCACTGACTCCAGGGGTGAATAAAATGAAAAAAAGGAGTCCAAACATAGTTACTTTTTTTGCTCAGTATTCGATGGTATAAAACTTCATTTGGGAGAAAAAGGAAGCAAATTCAGCACAGTCATCATCAGTCACATGTCTTCGGGGAAAGTTCTGCTATTTATCAAATTCTCTGCTATCTTTGTTAATCCTACTGCAGCACTGTCAGTTATCATCACACTAAATTTTGTTTAAAAAAAGAATTCCTACTTTTCTTGTCACATTTTCCTCAGACAATGCAGCTGAAACCAAGAGTGAAAAATTAAAGAGAAAACTGTGTGAAATGGGGAAGTGAAATGACATTATGACTACCAGAAGCACGTAATGAGCAAGTTTAGTTGACTCATCAGGGGTAAGATTTCTAAAGGCATAATTTCACACACAGAGTTTCCTGCACATATTAAAGAAGAGAAAAATCCAGAACTGATGAAAAACCAAGTCCATTCTTTTATTTTTATGGTAGTCAGTACCTCTCATGGTTTTCATGTGAGCTTCTTACAAAGCTCACTGTGCTTTAAGAATACACCAGACATCTGAAGGAATGCAATTAGATGATGTATTTCAAAGGGAGCTGAATGCAACCATCTGATGTTATGATTTGCACAAAAACCATGACTGATTGTGCTCAGAGATGGGGGTAATTCCTAGATTAATTAAGGAAAAGGAAAATTTAATTAAAGGTGCCTGAAAATACCAAATAATTAACCACTACATGAAATAATTTACAAATTAAGACAAAAATTTGAAAATGTAATGCAGCTAGAGAATTCTCTTTAGTATTTCCAAATTTTTCCATAGACCACAAGAAGAGTCCCACTGGCCTGACAGACTTCAAAATTTTAATTTTCAGTATTTGGCTTTTTAGTGGGAATTCAAAGTTATATTTTGAATATAATATATATATATATACCTTCCTGACAGACCTCCAGAGTACATACATCATACACAGATTTTTGCTGTTGTTTAACAGGACGAAATTTTCAGTATTTGGCTTTTAAGTGGGAATTCAAAGTTATATTTTGAATATTATATATATATATATATATATACACTTTCCTGACAGATCTCCAGAGTACATACATCATACACAGATTTTTGCTGTTGTTTAACAGGACGCTATAAAACATATAAGTTCCTTGTTATCATAGCAATAACACAGTTCTGTTTCAGGATGGACAAATTTTGCTTAAAAATAGTAAGACATGCAGTGAAATTGAAATAAATCCAGAAGGCTGTAATAGTTGGAAAAAAGAAATGCAGTAGTGAGACAGTCACAAAGCAGCAATGAAACAGCTATGAAAGAAGAGCTACCTTTTGCACAGACAGCCAAAAAAATATTCCTTTCAGCCACAAAACCAGTGGTGTGAAGGAGTTTAATCTGTGAAAAGCCAAGCCAGGCTCTCTGCTGAGTCTTCTGTGAGTCCAACAGGTTTAGCACAAGTCCCAGGTCAGTCTGAAGTGGGCAGGGGGTGGCAATGACCATACCCCACTGATGTACAAGATTTCCCAGCTGAACATGGGTCCCTCTGTGGCCAGCCTTGGTCTGGCATTGCTGCTCAATGCGTTGGGTGGCTGATACACTCATGGGCAGAGTGGAAAGAGCACTGCAGATTGACAAGATTTTACATAAAGCTCTCTTAATATGAAAGAAGACAAACTCTCTGCTGAATTGACTTTCTAAACCTGGTTCAAGCATGGGTGTTTTTTTTCAGATACTTGCTGCAGAAAAGTTATAGATGAGGAATGAGTCCCCCCTGGTGGCTCAACAGACAGACACATGCAGAAACATCCTGCTCCTTCCTTATTGCACTTTTATTGCACAAGATTATTCCAATGCTTTAAAAAGTCAGTGTAAGAAAGCTCAGTTAAAAGTATCTGGCTGGCTAAATGGGAAAACAGGAACAATAAGTACTACTGGTATCATAGCTAAAATATCCTGTATGACCATGAAGCCTACAACCTTGACCGCTGTATTTGGTCAAACTGTCATTAAATTAAAATAACCTAAATTATTTTTAAATACTTTCAGCAAATTCTGTTTTAGATGCTTGTGGCGTTTCATGCCAACATCAATGCTGCTCATAGAAGTGATGTCTTGTGATGATCACTGAAGTCCCAAACCACTGTACTAGCGGTGTGAAGAATCTGTTCTGTTCCTTTCAAGTCAGTATGAGGATCACTGCAGAAGATTATAAAGTTCTATACCCTTTAATTTTACAAAATCTTTTTTCTTTACTATAATCCTTTGCTTATGTATTCCAATCCAAAAGCCAGGCAAAAAGGAAGGAGAAGTGGAAAGAGCTACACAATAATGTTACTTCACTGGGGTTTTGTCAGTGAAATACTTCGTTTATTTTGAAATCCTTTGCAAGTAAATTCAGTAGGAACCAGCTCTCATATCCAATTAATTGTACATAAATTCAAGTCTAAAGAATTTAGAACTTCATACCTATGACTTTTAATTTTGCTACATCTGAGATGTTGAGAATAGAAGTTTATTCCAAGGTTCCTCACTGATTTGTGGTTAAAATCCTTAAAATAATTCATGATATTGTTATCTTCTTTCTCAGTGCATCCAAGAAGTGCTTAACTTACTTTTGATTGCTTTTCAAAATAATCACTTTGTATTTCGATTGTTGGCTGCAGATGAGTACATTGACCAGGTAAGCACTTATAAGTCATTAAAATCTCTCTCAGGAAAGAGTTATAATATGCATGATTGTAATATTCCATCACAGAAAAATAAATAACAGTACACCAGTATAACAGGGGAAAGTACTCAATTTCAAAGTGCTAGTTAGGCAGACAAAATTAAAGATTATATCCTAGCTTTTGGCATGTAACAAAATTTCACTTTAATGGAAAACTCTTTTAAGACATTAACCACATTTATTAAATAAAGACGTAATAATAATTTTCCTTGCAGGACCATTTGTGACTTTTTGAAGTAGATAGTTTTGCATCTGGAAACAGACATTTACACCTTCTGATTCTGGGTTTAGGGTTGATGCTGAAGGCACTGTAATGTACAGGGGCCCTATATAAGGCATAAGACTGCATACACAAAATAAAAATACACTCAACTATTAGCATGAAGAATAGAAAACTGTGGACTCTTCTCAAATCCCCTCACCCTATCTTTGACAATGTTTATAGTGGAAATAGAAAGTCATGTCCAGGGATACAATAAAGAGGTAGAGGATTCATTTCCTCTACAGGCAACTGATTAAATGCTTGAGAGTGCCATGGGAGTCCAAACCAAGAGCAGGACACTGGCACATATCCAGTGGTGCACTGGTAGCATTTGAGGAAGAGTTTTTGAAATATAGAAAAAGTGTTGTGCATTACGCTGAATATGTTTTGTTAAATGCTGTATGAAGTTTGGCTTAGTGGCTTGATTTGAGTATATCCCATTAAACCACTGGAGACTACTAAAATGTAGCAAACACATACCAGGTGCTATAGTTTTCCTGTGCAAACTATTATGTTGGAAATAACTCCCTGCCTCTTGCCAGTAGCCTTATGGTTTATTCTCTGCAAGCCAAGTTTAGGACTAAAAGTTACAGTTGTACCCTGAAGTATTCATTAAACTATTAAAATTGCCAAAAAGAAAAGAAAGAAGAGGATGAAGGGATAAGAAAGGGAGATGTCCTACCTGAGGCTCACAGTATGCACACTACAGCAACACTTTCCACGCTGGAATTCTAGAAAGGGAGACAGCTGGACATATTTTGTGGCTGTTTGCCCTTGTTGTCTGCTATTCCCTGCTTAAAATAGCTGCTTGCTGAGGTCTGTGTAGCTCTGGGATAATCTTATTATAGTGGATCCAATTCACAGCTAAGCACACTTGTCCATTTCTCATGCAGGCTGCAGCAGGCTATGCTGTACACTGGGGAATGAAGAAACCCATGGTATGAGACATGAAGAAATCTGTGGTATGGCCACAGAACTCCAGAGCAACCAAATTACAGCAGCTTACCAAGTTTCCACCCTATTAAGTTAGAATGAGCAGTTGTAATAATTCACGTCTGCTCTCAATTTTTACAGCACAAAAAGACTTCCATGAAGTTTCCATCACCTAAATCAACCCTTCATGGTTCCATGAAAAAATTTACAGATTTTCTTCATCTTTGCCAGTATGATGACTTTGGTTTGTAATAAAGCAAGGTCCAGTCAAATTAGTTAACTATTAATTCTACAGAGTGTGGTTAAGAGCGTGAAGTACCTCACAGCTTAAAAGATTTCTCTTTGAAGTACCAAAAAGGGATAATTTTCTCATAAAATATTTTTATATTTGCATGAAAAAAATGAGGGTTGTGGGATAACTTAATTTTAAAAATAACTTTAAAAAATTACAAGAAACTCTGTACTTTATAATTAAGAGCAGATATGGATTAATGTGGACAAAGCCAAAAACTGAGAGAGTGTCACCAGCAAGAAAATAACATGTAATAAAAGCCTGAAAAGAAAAATTTGCATATATCCTGTTACTTAAAGGGAAAAGATAAAAAAACCAGTCATCTATTACCTTTTTTGGAAGCATTTAAGGCTGGAAAGGGATAGGAAGAATGTGTTTAGTAAGGAGGCTTCTGTAATTTCCTACAGAATAACAGAATTAGCTACGTTGGAAAAGACCCATGAAATCACGGAGTCCAACATATAAAAGGTGTTTCCTTGAGCACCTCCGTTTGGGAAAGGAAAAGAACTCTTGCAATTTCAATGGGGATCAGTTGGGCAAGTTTTGGTCCATGTCCCTGCACTTGATGGCATCCCATGCCTTTTGATGGCTTTCATTCTGGCCAAGATTTTTTTTCTTTTTTTTTCAGTATCCATGCCACGGCTCTCATATCTTCCCCTCAAAGTTCTGTCTTCCTCCTTGACATTTTCCCCTGCTTTTGCAGCATCTGTGAGGATTGTTTTGGCATGTTTTGGTCCTTTGCACCTCCTTTCCTCCCAGACCATATTCTTGTAATCACTAAATGTCCCAATTTTCTGGTTTTTGGCATTTTTTTCAGATGCATTTCATTTGATCACATCCCCTTTCCAGAGTGTTTGTAAGTCTTTATTTTCTGAGTTGCAAGATTTCATTTCCCTTCCCAAAAGGAAATTTTGTTTCCCTTCCCAAAGGGAAACGAAATCTTGCGATTTCAATGGGAATCAACTGGACAATCTTTGGTCCATGTCCCTGCACTTCATGGCATCCCGTGCCTTTTGATGGCTTTGACTTTGGTGGAGATTTTTTTTTTCTCAGTATCCATGCCATGTCACTGATACATTCCCCTCAAAATTCTGTCTTCCCCTTTGATCAGTTCTCCTGCTTTTGCAACATCTCTGAGGTTAGCTTTTGCAGGTTTTGGCCTTTTGCACTGCACCTTGTATAATCCCAGTCCATTTGCTTGTAGTCACTAAATGTCTCAATTTTCTGGTTTATTGTTTTTTCTTCAATTGCATTTCATTTGATGGTGGGTCCCTTCCAGAGTGTTTGTAAGTCTTTCTTTTCTGTTTCGCAAGGTTTCATGGAATTGGAATTTCCTTTCAGGAAGGGAAACGAAATCTTGAGAAACAGAAAAGAATGACCTACAAACACTCTGGAAAGGAGATATGGTGCAAATGAAATGCAATTGAAGGAAAAAAAAAAAGAAAATTGGGAAATTTAGTGACTACAAGCAAATGGTCTGTGAGGAAATGAGGTGCAGTGCAAAGGTTCAAAACATGCAGAAACAACCTCACAGATGGAGGTGTTCAAGGAAAGACTGGACGTGGCACTCAATGTTCTGGTGTCGTTGGCACAGTGGTGTTTGGTCATGGGTTAGACCTATGACCTGGGCAGCCTGTTCCAAATTTTAATCAACCTTTCTGTGAAGAAATTCCACCTGATGTGGAACCTGAACCTCCCCTGGCATAGCTCGTGGACATTTCCTCTGACCGCTGGTTTCCTGGGAGATCAGCGACCCCCTTCTCGCTACAAGCTCCTCTCAGAAAAGGTCCTCCCGAGCCTCCTTTTCTCCAGGCTTAACAATCGCAGCTCTTTCAGCTGCTCCTCTCAGGACTTACCCTCTAGACCCTTCACCATCTTCATTGCTCTTCTCTGTACACACTCCAGCACCTTAATGTCCTCGCTGAATTAAGGGGCCCAAAACTGAACACAGTACACGAGGTGTGGCTTCACCAGTGCCGAGTAAACGGGGACCATCACTGCCCTGGTCCTGCTGGCCACACTATTGCTGATAATCATTGATGCATTCCTGCTTTTCATAACAGATCGAGTGAAACTGGGACCAGGGCAAGATGTGTCCAGCTGCTATGCACAAGTGATTGGTTGGTCCTGAAAAGGCTGCTGGAGCTGTCAGCCTTCACTGTAGGCACTGCCTTGCAAACAAACAGTTTGTAAATCACTTATTTCAGAAAACTGGGCTCCTCCATCAGTATTTCTTTCAGAACCTCCACATGTACAAGCATATTCTTTAGATCTCATAAATAGTTTCTTCCATATCATGTACAAGTTACCTACACCCAAAGAAATATCAACAACTTCCAGGGATGAAAATGTTAGCAGGCAGTAATACTTCTGCACTTAGTACTGGTTTTCACCAAGTGTATAAAATGGAAGAAAAATACACTAGATGAAAACAGTAATTCACATAATTAGTAGGGTTGTTAAACAGACAAGGAGCTAACAGACTTTGGGAATTACCTGGTAGTAATTTGCTTATTGAAACACTCACACCACAGTCGATTCTCTTGCATTATTTATTAGTAGCAAGAGGGCCTGTTCTGATACATGCATTTTCTACTGCAGAAAGACACCAAGCATTTCAGAGCTTCCCATCTGGAAATGCACACAATGCACTAAACAATATCTTAAGACAGATTGCTCAGAACCCAGAGCAAAGAAGAAACACATCTTGGAAGTCTTTTTGGATTACAATCCCCTTCCTTTATTTTGATTCTAATGTGAATAACTGCTCTCAGCAATTCCAGGAATCTAAACCAGTCACATATGTGGAAGTATACCCAAGTTCTGTGTTCATTTTTGGGCCCCTCACAACACAAAGGACATTGGGGTGTTGAGTGTATCCAGAGACAGGCAGTGAAGCTGGTGAAGGGTCTGAAGCACAAGTCTTAGGAGCTGGGGGAACAGCTGGGGGAACTGGGGTTGTTCAGTCTGGAGAAAAGGAGGCTCAGGAGTGATCTTATCAGTCTCTACAACCTGAAAGCAAGTTGTACCAAGGTGGGGATCTGCCTCTTCTCCCAAGTAACAGGCAATAGGACAAGAGGAAACAACCTCAAGTAGTACCAGGGGATGATTAGCCTGGATATTAGGAAAGATTTCTTCACTGAAAGGGCTGTCAAGCACTGGCATGGCTCCCCGGGGAAGTGGTTGAGTCACCATGCCAGAAGGTATCTAAAAGATATATAAATGTGGTAATTAAGGATATGGTTTAGTGGTGGACTTGGCAGTGCTGGCTTAATGGCCAGAATTAATGATCTCGAAGGTGCTTGCCAACCTAAATGGTCCTACAATTCCAAGTGCACAATCTAAGTGTAGCAGCAAACAATGCAAAAGCAAGTAGAATATTGAGTATATTCAGTAAGTCTGGTCTTCTTTTTCCTAATATAAAAGTACTATCCTATGATTTTCAAGTTGCACATTGGAAGCATCAAGTATTTTTCCTGAGACTACATCCCAGACAGAATCATCACCTATCTTCTGGCAGAATTCTGGAATCTTTAATATTATTTTTAATATTAAAGAATATTAAAATATTCTTTCATACTAAAAATATCTGTGTGCCAGAAAGCCACCTACTAGCTTCACTTGTTTTTCACTATCAGAACACAAGCAGAATATTTATCTTCCATAGACAGAAACTGAGCCACTGGCACGGAGATATCTTACTCTTGCTGCTTAATTCTGAATTGGCCAAATCTCAAATTTAGAAATAAAAACTTCTTGCAGTCAGAAGGAAAAGATGATGATTTTGATATTTCCTATAGAGTACATAAATATAATTTTGGGGCCTTTCCTTTACCTTCTCCGGCAAACTCTAATTCCTGCTCTCCCTGGATTTGTCATTGGAAGATCAAGTCAACCTCATCTTTCAATTCAAGCACCAAAAGTGAGTGAATGCATCAGACAAAGATTACTTTTAACTAAATGTGTAAAATCATTTCAATGTGGACAAGTAGCACAACCAGGTGACCAGAACTGCTTGTTCAATATAATTTGAACCTCACATGTTCAATATAATTTTATGAAAACTTTATTTATATATTATTGCTACCCATGGAATGATACTGGCTTAACAAGACTTTATCACCCTTTTAAAATTATAGTTGTACCAATACAAAAAAACTGCTTCAAAAATATTGGGATGGGACAATTTGCTTTTTAATTACTAAGGAAGTACATTGAGGGCAGTCAGAAAAGCAACATTCAAAACACTTGTTTAATATCATGTGTGGTGTCATCCTAGAAAAGGAAATTGAAATAATAGTATTGGAAGACATTTAGACTTGTAAATACAGTTCTTTTCAGCCACAACTTAGGAAAGAGCTTGAAAGTTAGCTATAATTTTTTATTTGCAGGATCAGGATGACTACTAGCAAGTATCAGATCTTCTTATTACAAAGGGCACTGTTAACACAAAAGGATTAATTTTGGGTTTTTTTTCAATTCAGTAACTTTTATGTCTCAAAATATTTAGGCCCTTCATTCTTTGAAAACAAGTATCTGCCAGTTTATGTGCCTTCAGCTCAAAAATTTAAATCCAACTTTGACACACTCAAGGGAGAAGAACCAGTCTAGTACCACAAAAAGACTCCCCGTCTCAAGTTGAGTGAAAAGTGGCTTTCTTCACACTGCTGAAAATCAAGAGATGTGTTCTTTAAAGGCACAATTGCTTCCCCACCTTATGTAAATACTGAGAGAATCCATTTTAACCATTAGCTGCTAGAATTGTCTTTGTTGATTCAAAGACAGCACCTCTTGTCAGTGGGATGCTCAGAGCAAGTCTTATGTCACGGTGCTTAAGAAGAGAAGCTTCTTGCTCTCCACCTTTGGGGACAGGGTTGCTCAGAGTGGGACTTTAGTTTACCTGAGAGTACCTTTGAGAAGCTAGAACTGACTGCTCTATAAATACACAGGCATTCTCCCCATGTTCTTCTCTCCTCTGGGAGGGAGTTGTAGCAGGAATTCACAAGAATACCTGTCTGCTTTCCAGAGACTGCTCCTGGCTACTGATGGTCTCACAAAGGGAAGGGAAAGCCACGATCACTCCCTCTATACCATCACCAGCAGCAACAAAAAGCCTGGTATCTTTAGATTAAGTACAATTAATATTTAAGACTTAACATCTTAACTACATACTTGATAGGAAATGAGTGTCTTTTGACACAGAGGTGGTGAGACTGCCACACAGCTCATGCATTTTATATTTCTCTGGAGAGCTAACACCAACGATCAAACCAAGAATAAACAAACAAAAGACAGGACTAAGCATCTCTTTTCTTTTTTTACTATATTTTGTCATTAACTCTAAAGAAATCCTCACATTGTTTGCAGTATTTTTTAAAAGTGTCTCTTTTTATACATTCCAAAATGCATATGGAAACCTCCAGCTACCGGATACTTAAGCAAATGTAATAGATTTTTACATTCTTTCACATACATAGTACTGCATTATGGACAATGATACTTGACATTATCTTCAAATTATTTCCTTTCATCAGCTTCCTTTACTGCCTCTAAATCCTCAAATTTAAAAAATGAGGATTTGTCATAGCCCATGAGATGGTTATAATCCTGAGGATTTGGGAAAAGTGTAGGATTAACAAGCATTGACTTTGTTTTAGCATAAAATGTTGTAAACATCTTGGAGATGTCTGGAATCTTTACATCTTTCTGATGGAAAACAGTTGCTTTTTCTGCCAAGATGGCATTGTAGGTAATGGCTGTATAGGTGTCCACTTCATCTTTATAATAGAGCCGGATCACGTAACCTTTTGTAAGGAGATGCAAAGTAACCGGAGTGACAAATGTAAAAATCCCGATCAGCCCATAAAAGGCAGCTTGGACCAGCAAACTTTCCACTCCAATGCCACTTTTGAACATGATGTAGGGCATCATGAGCAGGTTGAATATGCTCGTGGAGTAAGAGAAAAACTTCACACCTACATAAAAGAAATCAAAGAAAATAAAGGTTAACACTTTGGACCAAAATTTTCTCTACAATTACCTGTATTTTTCTACCACATAACACTGCCATTACTTGAGCTGCTGAAGTTGCTGAAAACTCCTTTCCCTGTTTTTTTAAGCTTATGGAGAAGCCATTGAAAGCTCAATCTGCCTCACTGCCACTGTTCTGATTGGTTTGCACCTTCATGCTGGGTTTATCAAAGCTGGCTCTATTTCTGTGATGCAGTCAGCTATTAGCTGTCATGCACACATGAAATTTTTTTCTGCCTTCACAGGCAGAAGAACTGATTTCTAATGAGACTTGACTCCATTCATGGACACGTGTAATGGTGCTCATTGAAGAGATGGCAGACAGGGAATTTCTCTCATCAACAACTAATGCTGACATTCAGTGTGTATTACAAAGAAGCCAGCTTGGCTGCCATGCACAAACCCTGGGTTACTCCACCACCCATTTTCCATGTGCTTGAAAGACAGAAGCCAGTGCTGTGGACTACCCACAGTCCTTAAACCACCCTGAAAACCAGGAGCCCAAGATGCTCTGACAAGTAAGTATGTCAGGACACATTTCAAAGATGTGTATCAGAAAACATCCAATGGCTTTGCCTTTCACTAGGTCTTTGTAATATTCACTGGCCAAAGAAAGAACAGCAAAGTCACATTAGAGATGGAGCTCTTCATCACAATACCTGCCTGCCTGGGAAGCATTTCAGGAGCACTTCCAAGCACACAGAATGTAAACAGCAGCTATAGCTCATCTTTGCTGCTTACTGGGTTGATAAGCCACCCCAAGGGCCTCAAGAGAGGCCAAAGAAGGCTGAGGGGTGACAGATGAACAGAGCTCCCTGCACACCCAAGCAGAGAAGCAGAAACCAAGCACCACCACTACCACTGTTTTTTGTACGTACAATCCAGATTTTGGCAAACTTGGAAAGGAGAACACTCACTTTTAATGTTTCATTTTAAAGATACTGAATACTGTTAAAACTACAACAACAAAAACGGCAATATAAACCACTTTGAGTCACATACCCAACACTGTCTTTGCCAAATTTCCTTTATAAACTAATCTTCCATGTTCTGGGTGATCATGAGGGGAGGATGTGCTGAGGCTGCGGACAGCCACTCCTTGAAAAGATGCAACCTGAAAGATGAAACCAGCACAGGGCTAAGGAACACCAGTATTACCCTTACATGTACCTGTCCATGCATATACACACATGTATGTACATGTATACACCCAAAGTTTCTCCTTGCCCTGAGCCTACCCCCAGCATTTCAAACTAAGGATTAAAGTTAGATTACACTCCAAAGCATGCCAAAAGCTACAACTAATATGCTGCCTGACTGTTTTAATAACTTACCATGTAAATAGCCCAAACTAGCATGAAATATTTGCAACTCCATTACTGATAACTGAGGTAGCAATCGATTTACACACAGCTTTGCAGAGAGACATTCATGGCATCTGTACTCATCACATCTCTGTCTAATCATAAAATAACACAATGGCCTGGGTTGAACTGGGCCTTAAGAATCATCCAGTTCCAACAGCCCTGTTGTGGGCAGGGACACCTTCCACTACACCAGTTTGGATCGATGCTTTCCATCCAGGCTGGCCTTAAGCACCTTGAGGGTTGGGGCATCCACAGCTTCTCTAGGCAACCTATTCCAGTGCCTCACCAATCTCACAGAAAATGATTTTTCTTTCCTAATATCTTAGATTAGCTAAATAGCTTCCTTTAGATTAGCTAAACATACTCTCAGTTTTAACCCGATCGATGCTTTCCATCCAGGCTGGCCTTAAGCACCTTGAGGGTTGGGGCATCCACAGCTTCTCTAGGCAACCTATTCCAGTGCCTCACCAATCTCACAGAAAATGATTTTTCTTTCCTAATATCTTAGATTAGCTAAATAGCTTCCTTTAGATTAGCTAAACATACTCTCAGTTTTAACCCATTCCCCATTGTCCTGGCACTTCATGCCCTTGTAAAAAGACCCTTTTCCCTACAGGACTTTATTGGAGGCTCCCTTCAGGTACTTGGAAGGCCACAATTAGATCATCCCGACGCCACAGGGATGGGGCTGTCTCTTCTCCAGGCTGAACAAACTCAATTGCCCCAACCATTCACCGCAGGAGAGGTGCTACATGCCTACAGTCATTTCGGTGCCTCCTCTGGATCGCTCCAGCAGGTCCATGGGGTCCCGGAGCGGGACAAAGCACTCCGGGGGGCTCTCACCTGAGCGTATCAGAGGAGGCACGCCCCGAGGAGCACCTCGTTTTCATCCTCAAAATCCCCTAAAGGCGAATCCGCCAACCCCAGGGCCGGGAACGCTCCCCCCGCTCCCACAGCCCCTGCAGAGTCCCCACAGCCCCCGCACAGAACCTGTCGGGGCCTCGCAGCGGCACAGCCCCCGGCGCGCCGCCGCCACGCCGCGCTTTGGTTCCGCCCGCAGGAAGGCTCCGGCCGGCTCCGCGGCGCCCCCGGCGGCATCTCGCGTTCAGCCGCAGAATGGCAGAATCACCTGGGCTGGAAAACTCCTCTGAGGGCAGCGGGTCCGACCTGCGGCCAGCACCACCGCGTCAATGTGACCATGGCATTAACCGCCACATCAAGCCATCCCTTAAACTCCCCCAGAAATGGTGACTCCACCACCTCTCTGGGCAGTCCATTCCAGTGTCGAACATTCTTTCTGTGAAGAAATTCCTCCTGATGCCCAACCTGAGCCTCCCCTGAGGGGAGCCTGTCGGGGCCTCGCAGCGGCAGCGGCGCGGAGGCGGCAGGCGGGCTGCGCGGCGCCCCGCAGCCATGCGGAGGCGGGGGCGGAGGCGCGGCAGGCCTGGGCAGTCCATTCCAGTGTCGAACATTCTTTCTGTGAAGAAATTCCTCCTGATGCCCAACCTGAGCCTCCCCTGAGGGGAGCTTTGCTTGAGGCCATTGCTTCGTGTCCTCTCGCCAGCTGCCTGGGAGAAGAGGCTGACCGCACCTATCAATCTCCTTCCAGATAGTTGTAGAGAGCCATAAGGTTTTCACTGAGCCTTCTCTTCTCCAGGCTAAACTACCCCAGCTCCCTCAGGTGCTCCTCATAAAGCTCGTGCGGCAGAACCTTGACCCAGCTTCGTTACCCTCCTCTGGACAGCGTTGTTGTGCACTAATTGAGAGGCTCAGAACTGAGCACAGGTCTCGAGGTGCGCTGAGCACATCACCGCCCTGCTCCTGCTGGCCACGCTATTCTCCACACAAGCCAAGATGCCACGGGCCTCCCTGGCCAGCCGGGCGCCCGTTCCCCCACGCTCAGCCGCCGTCGGCCCACACCCCCGAGCCCTGACATGGCGGACCCGCGTGCCCCCGGGAACTACGCGCCCCAGCATGCACCGCTCGGCGCGCGCAGCACGCCGGGAGCACGGGCGCCGCACGGGCGGAAGCGGCCCGTGACCCGGGCGGAAGCGCTCGGAGGCAGCTGGGCCGACAGCGCGGCCCTGCGAGCGGGGCGGAGGGAGCGGCGCCCACGGGTGAGGGGCGGCCGCGGGAGCGGGACCCCGCCGGGGCCGCGAGGGACTCCCCGGGGGCGGGGGCCGGGCCGGGCCGGGCCGGGGCGCTCCCGCTGAGGGGGTGGCGAAAGGCGCGTTTCTCCGCCGAAAGGCTCTCTTTGGAATCCCGGCGCCGCCGGAAAAGGGGATCCCTGGAGCAGTGCTGGCTTTGGGCATCGCTCCCAAACTCCTGCCCTGAGTGACGTTCGCCCTTTTCCTACGGCAGGCCGTAGAGAGAGGGGGAAAGTTCAGGCCGAAAGAATTTAGGATGCGCCCCCAGGGGTTGTTTTGCCAAGGTGAGAAGGGCTGGTTAGAGTGATTCGGCTGTAATGGTCGGCGAGTGTAAGCAAAGAGAAGGGTGATACCCCTGCCTGTAGCGACAGAAATGGGCTTTTGACTGCTGTGTGTTCCTCAGAGGGAGGTTCTGCTTTAATACAAGGTAACCCGAGCACTGGTAAGTTATTGACGGCTTCACATTTGTGTGTGAAAAGGTGATGGTGCTGCTGGCAGTTTGCTTTGACGGCCAATTTGCTCTTCCACCAGTTAACTTTTATTAAACATTTCTAAATGTGTTTGGTAAGTTAAGCTTTGCGTCCTGGGGAGACCTAGATAGTCACAGGCCGTTTGTTTACTTGGCTTCGATGGATTTTGGAAGCAAACCAGAAAAATGTAGATAAACAGGCACGTGAGAGATTTTTGGGGTAAGAACTACTTCGTGCACTTTTCTGAGTAATGCCCTACGTGCTTCCAGTTTTCTCCTTTTGCTATAACAAGGACCAAAATAATTGCTGCGGGAGAGATCGTGTTCAATTGACTGAAGAGTTACTTTGAACGGGAGTGTTTATTATGCCTGTAGTACATGGGCCACATCTTTGCACAGGTGGCACACACCTTATGCCTTGAGATCAGCCTTTTAATGAGCTTAAGTTATATCAGTAAAATGTTTACACCAGTGAAATTTTTGCTGACGTTTTTGCTGCGAGCTTTGAGATAATTTTTAGAAACTTTTACCACTACAGCATTTATTTTCTGCTTGTTGTGTCAGAGAAAACCCATTTGAGATTTTTTTTTCTGTACCGGAGTGGGTGATGAACAGCTTTAGATAGTTTCACATAGTTTTAACGTGAAGAATTTTAGTATTGTTAATTGTTTAATATTGTTGTAGAGAGACAAATGAGTATCACATTCAGGGATACTCAGATTCAGGTGTTTTATTGTGATTTTATAATTCTCATGTATGTTACAAGAAATCCCAAGCTATGTCATAAAAGTATGAGGTTTGTCAGATTATTTTAAGGAACTTCGATGTATTTTGACAAGTCCTCAGCACCTAGAAAGGCTCGGGATTTAGTTAGCTTTCTTGTGGGGTAGTTTGCATAACAGCAGTTTTTGGTGAATGCCTATAACAAGAGGGCAGAAATCCATGCCCTGTAAAATTTTGCCTCTTTTCCCCCAGTGGCAGAGCTGTACTTTACAGCTTAGAAGTTTCTTTGGAAGAAAATAGTGACAGTCCCCTGCCCATGTTTTTGAGGTTTTTTTTCCTTGAAGCTTTCTGGGGAATTACTGAAAAGGAATGTTTCTTTAAACAGGGAAAGAAATCTTAACTGAGATGTTTTGTACTCTGTACATGCTGTCCTACCCCATCTGCTGTTTATCTCAGCTGGCATTCAGGTGCAGTATGCCTTCCTGTCACATTCCTGTGTGTCCCAGGAAACTGGAATTTTAGAACCTGAGAGTATTGGAGTAGTGAATCAGCTGATTTGGAAATCATGCTCTGCCAGTTTCTCCTCATGTTTTTTCTAAATATGCTTCAGTCTCTTAATTATTATTACCTTAATTGTTTTTTGATGTGTGCTGAGCAGTGAATGCTAAACTGAAGAGTGGTGTTTTTAAACAAGTTATTATACAGAATAGGGTAGAATTTAGGCTTGAACAGTAGGAGGCTGCAGTTGTAACACACAGCTGCCTTTGGTGATTAATAAACTCCTACTGATATATAAATGACACCAAAAAAAGTCACATTTGGCTTTTAAACAAACATGGGAATTAGTGAAGGCCAACTTGCCATGTTTTCCAAATATGGATAGTGTAGGATACAAATGTCAGAGCTGAAGTGTACAAAAGTCGGGTGTGTGTCATGCAGCTAATGAGTCGGAAGCTATTTGAATTTCCTTAAACCAGAAGCTGAGATTTTAAGGGATTTTCCTGTGGGATCAAAGAATCTGAATGCTTGAAGCGTTTGCATAGATTCAGTGTTCTTGTGCAAATGAGAACAGAGCAGTGAGGTGCTGGAAGCTGAGCAGTGTGTTCAGCTACATCAGGGTATGTCCTTCATGTCTGCACCACTCACTGCCATACAAGGCATACAAAGAAATGATGTTCTGGAAATTCTGGCAAACGTGGGAGATCAGCATGCAGCTTTGGGAGTGGGCTGGGATGGTTGTGAACATCCCAGTTTCAGTTTTGTTCTTGCATTTGATGCTCAAGAGAAGCAGAAAGATTGGACTAAACAGACTCAACTTCCTATTTCTTCTTAGAGGTGTGAGAAGATGTTGAAGTAGGGAAACAAGAACACTTGCCCTGTGTGGCTTAATTGCCATGGTTTAGAGGTTTGTGATATTTCACACTCTTTTACCTTGTAGGTGTAAATATTCTGGCAGTGGCAATTTTCAGTTCTCTAACATCCAGACAATTCTATGTTTTCTACAGCAGGAAGTCCTTTTTAGACTGGTTGGAAAGTTTTTGTGCCAAATCCACTGGGTTTAATTGTGTTGTACTCTCCTTCTGATTAAAAAAGGGCATATCCCTTTTATGTAAACTTTCTGCAAAGCAGGAGAACAGTAGTATCTAAGATATGTGCTTTTTTTGAGATTTAAGTCAGGGAGCTCAGCTACATTGTGGTAATGCCACATAAGCTTCTTGAAGGGCAAATTGAATTCTGAATGTACTTCAACATAAATTAGTGGTTCTTTACAGAAGTCCGAAATAGTCAAGTAAAAAATATATAAAAAGTATATATTAACAAAACTTGTATTGTTCTTATCCTGACTGCTGCATTGGTGTAGTCTCGTTGAAGTCAAACAGGGCAACTATAAAATATGGAAAAGTAATTAAAATATAGGTAGTTACCAGCCATGTTCAGAAATCTGTCTTTTTATTCATATTGTCTTGTAATTTATGCTGCTTTCATTATACAGAAGGAAAATATAGTGATATGTTTTGTAATAAACAGTACACTGGAAATACACTGAGAGAAAATAATTTCTTGGAAGACAACATACAAGGTTGCTTGACTCTCCTTGACCTATTATTTAAAACTTCAGGCCATGCCATTATCAATTAAAAAAAGGTACAGAAAATTTCCCTCCATCTTCCTTTGGTACTCCCTGTATGCACAAGGAGAATTGTGGGAGGTATTTATATATTCTTTTGATTTTTTTTTTTTTGTGTGCACTTTTTTCTGGCTTTGAAAGTGTTCTGATCATCATACAACTATATTCTTTTGATTTTTTATTTTTTTTTTGTGTGTGCACTTTTTTCTGGCTTTGAAAGTGTTCTGATCTTCATACAACATCATGACAGACTGAGCACTTCTTGCCCAGAAGAGGAAGCATTACTGGTTTTTTTTAGGTTTTCCAGAGTACTTGAGCTTCTTGGTTTTCTTCTCATGTGTTGCATTGGCTCTCTGATTTTTCTGGGCTCTCTGCTGTTTGCTATTTTGTCAGGAATAAATCTATTCTGCTAATAGTATAACGACACATCATTGCATCAGAATGGAAACTGAGTGAAACTCAGTGTGTCCCTTGCTAACATGTCAGATCCATCATATATTGGAAAAATTACAGTTTTTTCTTAAAAGCAGGTTGGTTTTTCTGCATCTTTTACTTTTGGCAATTGAATGTTTGGAGTTTTCCATATCCAGAACCAAACTTGGATTCTGGAATAGCACTATAAATTTTACTCTTTTTTTTTTTTGCCTATTTTCATTAGTTGAAGTTAAACTGAGATATTATGTTGGCATTGTTTTCCTGACGATGTTTATCCTTTTAATAAATCTTTGTATTTATCTTCATCCCAGTTTTGCTAAGCTGAATAAGGAAGATCAATTTTTCTTTTTTAAACAGGCTTTTTAGTCATATCATTAGGTTCCCTCTGTAGCTCTTGTAATTCAAACTTATTTTTCTTGAAAAAAGGAATTCAGAATTGTGTGTGATATTCCAGACAAGCTGTTGCTAATGTGCAACGTTGCTCATATCCCTGTCTTTATTGAAAAGAAATCCTCAATGTGCATTTGCCTCTTTGTCCCACACCCTTTTTTTTAAATTTTGCCCCCACAGACCTGCATCAGTTTCTAGTTTACCACAGAAAGACTGTAGTCTCAAATAACGTGCCCTGACTACGTGAAAGAAGACCGTACTGGTCCCCTCATGCGGCAGGCTTGATTTCATATGACTTAATTTCATGTGGCTTCTAGTACAATGTTTTTCAGGACTGGTCACGTGTCTTGTGTTATGTTTTGTCCCACTTTTGTTGCAATGCTTTCCACTTCTGTCTCATCCAAATCTGCCTGTTCTTTTTTGGCAGCATTGTTTAAAAAAAAGCAGCATATTTGTTTGGAGGAACTAGTAGTTCTTTTCTATGTTTGCAACACCATACTGTAGTCTTGTAGAAAGATTCTTTCTCATTTTAAGATTGCCTCTCATCACATTTATTTAACCCCAGATGATATATGAAGCCCAGATTGCATCTTGTTTGTTTCCTTTTTCCCAAAGAAAATGACTAAATAATTTTTTAAAAACTAGATTAGTTCAATGTGCCCTAAAACTATGAAGGCTTACTGCATTTTTATGCTACTTTACTGTTTAGTACAATTGAATTCAGACCACTGAGCCCTGATAATTTTTTCTCTTCTTTAATTACTGTATTTTTCCTCTCTAATCATATGATAGCACATTTGATTTATTAAAATCTTTGTGTATTTTTGCAACATCTTTTGTTTTTGTGTGGACTTTTTCAGTTCTCCATTTTCAATCTTTCAATGTATTAGCTTCCTCAACTTATGCTTTTACCTTGCAAGGTGCTAATATATCTGCATTCCCATTAACTAGCCTTTATTCCTGTGTTTAGTGGCATTATTTATATTGTAAACCAAGCCATATTTTATCATCACCAACACT